CTACTCTCTATATATCATCTTTTAAATATTTATGTATAAGGAACAACAAATTTAGATGGTTCTGGATTATTTTGTATGTGCTATTGCAATACAGTAGGAAATACAGGGATTCTAAGTTCTTTTGTGAATGTAAAGCATTAAGGTATGTCATTACCTACTGCAAAACACACACACACACACACACACACACACACACACATTATAAAAACATTAATCTGGAAGAGGGCCAAAAGGTCATCCACCTGGTTATCCCTCTTTGGAGAATTCTGACTAGTCCAACAGCTATTGTAACCTACATATATAACCTATATGCAAAATTGGAAAATAATAAAATGTTACGCACTTACTACATAGTAGCACTGAAATCTGTATTCTATATTAACTAAAAGGCACTTAATAATAAAGTATTTTACGATTTCTACTCTCTACCATACAAAAATGAACATCATATTACCCTTCCAAAATTTAGTGTAAAAAATAAAATCGTGGTGGTGGTGGTGGTGGGTTATTTACACTGAAAAACAGAATATAATTTATATTAAACATCGAAAGTAACCTACTTAGGGCCTTTCTCTTTATACCATTACTTCCAGGAAGCTCAGTGTAAAAATGAGTGCTTAATTAGGTAATAATATTGTCCTGTGTTTTTTGCACATTAACTTGTCCCTTTTTGCAGGTGTTCTCAAATTCCCCTTCCATCTTTACTCAAACTTTCCTATAATTATGTGCATTTATGTTTCTATTGTAGGCTACCTCAAATTGTTTTGGAAGTAAAGTATAGATTACAAACAAATAAATATAAGAACAGCTGCAGTGGCTCATAATACCAGCACTTTGGGAGGCTGAGGCAGGCAGATTGCTTGAGCCCAGGAGTCTGAGACCAGCCTGAATAACACAGCAAGACCCCATCTCTACAAAAAATACAAAATTTAGCCAGGCATGGTGGCATGTGCCTGTAGTCCCTGCTACTCAAGAGACTGAGGTGGGAGGATCACTTGAACTTAGGAGATGGAGGTTGCAGTGAGCTGAGATCATGGCACTGCAACTCCAGGCTGTTTTAAAAAAAAAAGAAAAAAAAGCACCTCAACTGCTCAACTACTCAGCTAAAGTGAAGACAGATGGGTGCAAGCAAGACTTCTGGGGTGTTCCCAAAATTCTGCCACATGAAATGCTGTGAACTTTAGCTTGCTTCAGACTGCCCCTCTCTGGAACCATCCCAGCAGCTCTGGTGTTGTGTCTGCGTAACCTTTAGCCCCATGTGACAGAGAAAGTGGAAAGGTTGCTAATTAGCACTGGTTGACCCCTAAATGGAATAACTGTGAAGGTGTGAGTATCAAGCAAAAAGAAAAAGAGGACATTATGAATTGCAGACTGAAGGCTGAGGACTCATCTTATCAGGGGGCGCTGAGCTGAGCTCTCTTTCTGCATACTCGCATCTTCTTGCTTCTTCTGTTCTCCTATTACAACTCCAAAAGCTATTGTCATATGATTGAGACGTTTCATATTTTGCCACCACTTGGACAACGGGACTGAATTTCAAGACTGGCCAATAAAAGGCTTTTGGTCAATAGCTGTGTTATTACACTGAAGGAATTCACCAGTGGGAGCCATTATCAGAAGAAACCCCAAGTGACCGCGAATACTTGATCCCACCTCAAATATGTCCCTTTTTTATTTTTATTTTTTGACAGAATTTCACCGTGTTTTCCAGGCTGGATTGCAATGGTGCGATCTCAGCTCACCACAACCTCTGCCTCCCGGGTTCAAGTGATTCTTCTGTCTCAGCTTCCTGAATAGCTGGGATTACAGATGCATGCCACCACACCCAGCTGGTTTTGTATTCTTAGCAGAGATGGGTTCCACCATGTCGGCCAGGCTGGTCTCGAATTCCTGACCTCAGGTGATCCACCCGCCTCAGCCTCCCAAAGTGCCGGGATTACAGGTGTAAGCCACCATATCCAGCCAAATATGTCCTCTTTTTAACAAGTATTATAATATTACTATATTACTATGTTATATATTACTTATCTATTACAAGTGACAATATATGATATATAAGTAGATTATATATTTATATATTATATATTATAT